TTGCCTGCATGTATGTAAGTGTACCCGTGGCATGCGATGCCCACAAAGATAAAAAGAGGGTGCTGGATCCCCTGTAACTGGAGTTACTGACAGTTGTTAGTTGCCATGTGGGTGCTGGGATTCGAACCCAGGCCCTCTGCAAGAATGGCAAGTGCTCTTAACTGCTAAGCCATCTCTCCAGGCCCAAGCCTTCCTTTGTTTTAAAGAATGGTGTTTTAGAAATGGATGCAGATCCGGGATGCCTTCATCTGACCTCGGAGGGCATACCACAACACAGGTGCACTTACATATATGTACTCATACACATACGACAAAAAATTTTTTTTTCTAGTGCTGGGGATACAACAGGGCTGAGTGCATGCCCAGGCTGGCCTTGAATCTTCAGTGCTCTTAACTGGTTTATCTGTAGCTGGGCTGACAGGACAAGGGAGTTTTTATGAGCTAAGTACAGTACCACATGCCTGTAATCCCAGTATTTGGGAGGTGGGGCAGGAAAATTAGGAGTTCAAGACCAGTTAGTGACACATGAAACCCTTTCTTCTCTGTCAAACACAAAAACAACAAAAGTCAAAATGAAAAGAGAGGGCAGGCGAAGATGGCTGAGTGGGTAAAGGCTTCCGTCATCAAGCCTGACAACCTGAGTTCAATCCCCAGGACCCACACCGTGAAAGAACAGAGCCAACTCCTGAAAGTTGTCCTCTGACCTCCATGCAGCTGACACGCCCACATACACGAAGTAAATAAAGTGTGTTTTAAAAAGAGGGTTTTTATACTGCAGCTGTGGCAGTGTCTGCTGGACCCTTGACACAGTGCACTGACTTGTGTTTGGCCCTGTGCCCTCTGTTTGTTTTTTAACGAAGCTTGATAGGAAAGGGCATTAGTGGGGCACAGAGCAAGCAGGGCAGCAAGGCCCGATGGGAGATCACACACAGCCAGCCACCTCATGGGGAGGTGACGCCAAGGCCTGAGGCTGGGGAATGGAGGGGAAGTCTCTGTATGTGGGGCAGGGTCACAGTGAACCTTCACTCAGCACTGTGTGAGGGAGGAGGGCTGGTCAGTCCACAGATGTAAGCATGCTTCCTCCGCCTGAAGGAGCTATGTTGGCCCATAAATTACGAATACGAAGTTGTTCCAGCCTCTCCTGAGCTCAGTGAGTAGGTTAAGGTTCATGGAAAATGTGTTCCTGTCCAGAACGAGGCCCCATGGCATTGCCAAATGTCTATTAATACCTCCCTCCCTCTCCCCCTCCCCTTCCCCCCCTTTCTGCAGTGCACTGGTTATATTTTAGGTTGCTAAATAGACTTCCATCATTTGTACCCCAGTAATAATAGAGCTCAGTGTATATCAGACATTGTACCAAGAATTTAATCTAAATTAACCATCAATTGTGCTGGCACACACCAGTACGATATGTTTAAGAGGAAGAGGCAGGAATTCAAGGCTAGTCTGGGTTAGACTTCTGGGCCCCTCGGATGGAAGGGTTCAGTGGATTAAGAGTCATTGCTGCCAAAACTTACAACCTGAGTTTGATCCCCAGGACGCACATGGTGGAAGAGGGAACTGGCTCCCTCGAGCCGACTCCTGACCTCCATACCGGTGCCCCCCCAACAAATAAATGTAATAAAAATTAACTAACCCCCATTAAAATACATACTACCATAATTACCATTGTCCAGAGGAGAAAAAGCAAGGCTCAGAGTGGATAAGTAACTTCCTCAAGGTCACAGAGCCAGGAGTAGGACCAGACAAGCTGGTGTTGAAGTCCAGGTAAGAACCATTTTACAGGGGCTGGAGAGATGGCTCAGTGGTCAAGAGTACTGGCTGCTCTTGCAGAGGACCTGGGTTCAGTTCCCAGCACCCACATGGCAGCTAACAACCACGTGTAACTCCAGTTCCAGGGGAATACAACAACCTTTACTGAACTTTGTGGGTATTGTGGGCATCAGTGCACTTACACACATGCAGGCAAAACACTCATACACATAAAATAAAAATCTTTTAAAAAACAGGCTGAGCCATTCCGTTAGCAAACCTGCTGCCTGAGCTCAAATTCCACCGTGGACAAAACACTAGAGGGGTAAGAAAGGCACACTGTGGATTGCATGGCAGGACTACGGGCCAGGAGGGCTCTCTGAGCACTGTGATGCTATGTAAGGCATCACAGAAGGTCCCACAAAGAAGGCCATCTTTCAATAAAAGCTCTGTGAGGGACTGTAGAGAGGGTTGGTGATGCAAGCCAGGGCACCTGGGAGGAGGAGGTGATGGCAATAGTGTTCACAAATGTCAGGACAGGAAGCTGAGACTGAGGCTGAGGCAGGAAGGACAGAGGGAGCAGGAACAGCCTGGTGAGCAGCAAGCTGGGCATGTGGATTTGTGGAAGCAGAAATGGGCCGGAGGGTCCCAGGAGGGGTGTGGACGGCTGTGTCAGACAAAGGTCCCCAGAGCCAGCCTGAGGGGTTGGGGTGTTGTACTGAGGGTGCTGGGGAGCCATGGGTGGGCACTGAACAGGGGACGCAGGGTCAGCCCTGCATGTAGGAAGCCCCCTAAAGCTGGAAGAGAAGGGGCTGGAGGGGAGGAGGCTACAGCTAGGGTGTCGGTGAGGCCTGATCGGGAGGGGTCTGAGGGAAAGACTAGTGCAGAGAGCTGGAGCTGAGAACCGACAGCCCATGGAGGCAAGGGGTCAGGAGTAAGGATGGTACCTCGGTCTGGCCCAGTGACTAGGTAGCTAGCAGGGTCTGAAGCGATGATGACTTGCTGGAAGGGGACATTATCAGACACTGAATGTGAAGGAGGGAGCCCTGGGTAGGAGAGAGGGAGATGTCACTGACCCTCACGGAAGGAGAGGCCCTCAGTTCTCACTGGATATACCACAGGTGCCCATGGGTCAGGCTTTGTACCAGAGGATGCTGGGCCCAGTGCTGTTTCAAAGTGGTGAGGAAGATGGGCAGGCCTGTTAAGTCTAGCTATTTAAGGGTAATACAGATGTGTAATTCCAGTGCTGAAGGTTCAGGAGTTCAAGCTCATCCTCAGCTACATAATGAGGTCCAGGCTAATGTGGCTGCCTAAGGCCCTGTCTTCAATAATAATAATAATAAATAAATAAATAAATAATAAGAGAAAAGGGCTGGAGGTGATACAGCACTGTCTTAGCACACAGAAGGCTCTGGGTTTAATTCCCCAGCACCCCACACAAAAAATATAAAACATAAAAATAAATCATGGTGGGGCTGGAGAGATGGCTTAGCAGTTAAGAATGCTGAATGTTTTTGCAGAAGACCCGGGTTTGAATCCCAGCACCCGCATGGCACCTAACATCTGTCCATTAACTCCAGTTCCAGGAGATCCAACAACCTCTTCTGACCTCTGAGGGCACTGCACGACATGGGTGCACTTACATACATGCAGGTAATACACACATAAAATAAAAATAATAAATAAAAAATATTAATAAAAATAATCAATCAATCATGGTAAGGAGTCAAAGCCAACTGAGACACCCCATAGCAGGTGGCCATAGAGATCCAAGAAGGACAGAAAGTCAGAGCAGGGAGGATATCAGGAAAGTCGGGTCCCAGGACCCGGAGTGTGTCCCGGTGAAGACTGTAAACCATGAACCTGTCACAGGCTGTTAGAAGCATTTTCAGACTATTTCCCTCTAACAAATAGACAGAAAGCCAGACTTGCCTTCCAAATCTGGGGGCCGGAGAGGTGGCTCAGTGGTTAAGAGCATGTACTGCTCTTCCAGAGGACCCAAGTTCTATTCCCAGCACCCACATCAGGCAGTTCAAAGCCACTAACCCCAGCTCCAGAGGGATTCCCACCCCCGCTGGTCTCCTCAGGCACCTGAACTCACACTGCCCCCCCCCCGCCCCAGTATAAAAACAATTTAAAATAATAGAAAATAAATCCTTTAGTAATATAGAAGATACATGGGAGTTAGAGAGATGGCTCCACAGCTGCTCTTCCAGATGGACCTGGGTTTCGTTCTCAGCATCCTTATGGTGGGTTCCCAACTGCCTGTAACTCCAGCTCCAGGGGATCCTCTTCTGGCCTCTACAGGTACTGCACAAATACGGTGCACATACACTCAGGCATACACATAAATAATAAAATCGTTGCTTCTTGATGCTGTTAAGTATCTGTTGGGTAGCAGCCACTGCAAGCCCGTGCCTGTCTTTTGTATCCTCCTCACACTCAAGCAGGCAAAAGTAGCATTAATGTCAACTTTGTGGCTAGTTTTTACCTACCCCGAGGCCTCCAGGGAGACAGTCCCCAGGTTGGGAATTTTGAAGACAGAGGTGAGTTCCTGGTGTGATGGGGAAAGAGACTGGCATAAACCATCACTGTATTTTTTGGTCCAGGTTAGGCAAGGCATTAAGTCGCCTGAGGAGAACGTCTGACTCCTCTCTGTCCATAGCAGCTTCCCTCTGGGGACAAGCCAGGCTCTAAGGGACACCGTCCCCAAGCCCTTACACTGAAAACAACAGCCTCTCCCCCAGCTCAGCCAAGCTGGCCCCTTGCACTGGCCTCCAAGGCACACACAGGACTCCCTCTCTCCCTGGTTAGAGCTTCCTCGAGTGTCTGGGTCTCAAAGCACCAGAGGCTACCCATGTGGGGTTCTGTAAGCTCTGACAGCCTAGAGGGTGAAAGAGGGACTCACAAAGACGTCCCGGCTCTGCTTCTCCCCAGCTAAGTGAATTCTTTGTGCCTCAGTTTCCCCATGTGTTAAACAGAAGCTATGACTCCCCCAGCCCACACTTATCATGGGGACTGAGAAGAAGAGGGCAGGTCGTGACTTCAGAACGGCCAGAAGTCTGAAACATACAGCTCTCCTTGATCTTTGCCCCAGGAGTGATGGACATGGAGGGGCAAAGGGCAGCAGAAATTCTGAGATTTCCAAAAGGAGTCCCATACACTGTGCGCGCCTGATCCCGGAAGCACACGGCAGCGGGTCTTGGGGGAGCTGGGGCAGAGGTGGGGGGTAGGGGGGTCCCGGTCACCTTCACTGCGAAGTCGATGACCCTCTTGACAGCCACGAGCGCGCGCAGCTCCGCCATCTTCCCGGCCGCAGACACCCCCCTCGCCAGGTCAGTCTGCACTTTAACTGGACACCGGGACACCCCGCCCCTTCTGTCGGCCTCTGCGCCTGCGCAGCCCTACGGCCTACCAATCAACATCTATGCAGCCGGAGTTGAGAGCCAATCCTACGTCCAGGAGGGAGGGACGGGTGCAATAGGAAGCCAATAGGAAGCGGATGTCGAGGAGCAAGGCGGGAGCTGGGGCGTGGCGGGGAAGTAGGGGAAAGGTCGCGCCCGGAGGAAAGTTCGCCCTGCGGGGAGGTCCTCGGGTTCCTCTGAAATTCTCCCGGGTGTCCCCAGTTCTGTAATTCTCCTCCAGGTCTCCCATTCCTGCGCCTACACAAGTCGCCGTGCGCGCGTCCCTGTGCGCAGTGTGCGCCCTTTATTCCCACGCCCGAGGCCTCCGGGGCCCCCATATCTGCATTTTCCCTCCAAGTCCCCCTTTCACGACCTCCCCAAGTGGCCGTGTCCGCGGCCTCCAGGAGCCGTCCTGTGTCCCCAGAAAAGCACGCGAGCCGGCGCTGAAAGTTCTTTATTCTGCCCTCGGCAGGCAGCAGTCACAGGCACACTGGAAACCCGCTGATGGCCTCGGTGCCCTGCAGGATCATGTCCGCCAGCAGAAAGCAGAAACCTGGAGGGGGGCGTAAGGAAGAGCCCTGGGAGGAAGGTGGGCACTGGGGCAGACGACCTGCCTGGGGATTCGGGATGGGGCTCTAAGGGCGTCTCCACCGGGTGTGCCAGTCCGCAGTGCAGGACGTTGGTGGGTGTGCGTGCGTGCGTGTGCGCGCGCCCAGGAAAAGCAACTGGCCGGGGAGACCCTGCGGAGAAGAAGGTCCTCTACGGGGCCGTTTCCACCCTCTCTCCCCTGTGCTGGTTACCCGCGAGAATCGAGAGGGGTAAAGCCAGCCATCCGAAGAAGTAGGACCAGGAGAAGAAGATTTCGTGCCTCCACGCGTTCTTCGCAGTGTAGCCAATCAACGCAATCAATAGCAGCAGCCCTGGGCCACGCCCACCGGTCAGGCAACCGTGGCCAGGTGGGGGCTGCACCTAAGCCCCGCTCAGACCTTGTTCTCCGCCCAAGCCATGCCCCTCGGAGGGCACCGCCTCCCATCTATCCCCTCTACGCCTAACTATGGTTTTGCCCGGCCTTCTTGAGCTCCTCCATTGACTGTCATTCCCATAACCCGCCCCCTTCACCTCAGCCTCCAACCCCACACCCATCTACGGCACCGCCCCCACTGTCTTTAGTCCCGCCCCTGGGTCGCCAGTCCCGCCTCCCGC